GGGGAAGGAGCCAAGGTGTTAGTGTTTAATAGGAACAGTTTCAATTTGGTAAGTTCTGAGGTTGGTTGTGTGATTGGATGAAACAAAATGGGTCTCAACATCTAGCCCAGGCTAGCCTTGAACTTGCATGTAACCCAAGCTGGTTTCTCAAACCCTTGATCCTCCTGCCTCTACTCCCAAGAGCTGGGATCACATGTGTGCAACAACACCTGGCATGGCAGTGAATGTATTCAATATGACTATGCTACACACTGAGAATAGTTCAAATGGCAAACTTTAAATTGTGTATCCATCACACTTTTGGGGGAGACTAGGGTGTGGCTCTGAGGGTAGAGTGCTTTTCTAACATGCACAAAGCCCTGATCTCCATCCCCAGCACTGCATCAACCAGATGTGGTGGAGTACACTTGTCATCCAAGCACTTGAGAGCTTAAGGCAGGAGGATTAGGAGTTGAAGATCTTCCTCAGTTACATTTGGAGTTGGAGGCCAGCCTGAGCTACATGAGGCCCTGTCTAAAACAAAATAAAACAAAAATTACTTTTAAAAAAAATTGAAACAGTGGGGAGAACACTGGAGGAGCTGGAAGGGGACTGGGAGGGATGGAAATATTCCCTCCCTTGGGGCTGGAGCGATGGATCAGCAGTTAATTAAAGAGCACTGGCTGCTCTTGCAGAGGACACAGGTTCAGTTCCCAGCACCTACACAGTGACTAACAACCATCTATAACTCCAGTTTCAAGGCATCCAATGCCCTCTTCTGGCCTCTGTGGGCACTGGATGCACATGATGGCATATACATGTAGGCAAGACACATACATAAAACATAAATAAGTAAATAATTTTACTGAAAATAAAATGAATCCTGCCCTCTTGAGGTTCCATTTTGAAGCATGTAAAAGCCACTGGTGTCTGGAGACATGTCAGACATGTGGTACAGCAGCCCCTGTGTGTGTGTATGTGTGTGTGTGTGTGTGGTGTGTGTGTGTCTGTGTGTCTGTGTGTGTGTGTGTGGTCCAGTGGCCCAGGGAGGCAACCTGTGCCATCTCTGAGCCAGCTTCTGGTCCACACTGTGGGCATCAAGCCTCGAAGACTCCCCACGGTTCCCCTCAACATCTCCCCCACAGGAAGCTGCTGCCCCGGCCAGAGACCGAGGAGGAGTTCCTGCGTATGTGCAGACTGAAGGAGAAGGAGCTGGAGGCACTGCCCTGCCTGTATGCCACGGTGGAGGCTGATATGTGGAGCAGCGTGGAAGAACTGCTGCGCATCCTCAAAGACAAGATCAGCGAGGAGCAGCGCAAAACCATCTGGGTGGATGAGGACCAGCTGTGAGCCCGTCCACCAGAGGCTCAGCCTCTATGACAACAGAGCCACCAGAGGCCACCAGGTCACAGGGTCAGGCCCTACTGGTGTAAGGAGAGATGGGCAAGCCCAGGACAGGGGCCCGTGGCCAGCAGCCCCTCTGGGGCCAAAGCAGCGTTGAATGTATTTCGTAGGACAGGTGCAGGAGGCTACCTGTAGGGCAGGGCCTCCCACAGCCAGAGTGGCTGCCAGCACACATCCCAGGCAGATCAGATCTGAGGAGATGGAACCTCTCCCATGCTAGTCTTTGCCTTGCATTAAATTTTTGTAGTTCTTTGTTTTCAAATGAATTCTTTGCAGAGGTTTTAATCCCATGCCCTCTTCCTACACTGGGATTTCTCCCACAAACCCAATGAAGGTCAGAGAGGGCTCAGGCCCCTCTACATTCACACGAGAGTTGAAGGGAGGTGTGCCAGGACATTTGGTTGACACTTGGGTGAGTATAGTGGCTATCAGACCCTCTGATCTGGGAGCATCTAACATGAGGAGATTATATAGTCACCTGCTGAAGGACCCAGTGTCTGTGAGGTCCTACTGTCTGTGCCCTGCACCTGAAGATTCTAGAAGCCTCTGCTTGACTATCAGATACAGAGTGCCAGGTCTGGATCCTACCAGGCACAGCTAACCCAAGCCAGGTCATGCCCTCAGCTGGGCACCATATTCAGGAAGTTGGTAGGTACTACAGACACAGACACACATGGACAAAATCCACAAAAACCCACTCCACATACCATTATTAAATAATTAAATAAAACCCTGGTTTTATTCTGGGAATCCATGTGCACTGCTAAATAGCTGTATCTCCCAGCTTCCCTTGCAGCCAGAGTGATGGAGGAAATGTAAGCCAACAGGAAGAAATAGAGCACACAAGCACCCACTGCCCCCAATTTCCTGAAATGCACATGAGAGCTAGTGCTCCAGCAGCCATTTTGGAATGCTGAAGTGACCACAAAAAAACTGTGCACGTAGGATGGTGGAACACAAAGACAGAAGGACATAGAGTCCCTGTTAACACTTGGTGGCCCAGGGCTGTTGCTGGAGTTTCTTTCACATGATAAACCCGTTTTTATTTTGTGTTAGCAATTGTTCCATTACTCATAGCCCAGAGTAGTTTCTAACACGTACAGGCAAAACTTTTCTTAGGCTGCAGCAATGGCTCAGCAGGTAAGGGCACTGGCTGCTCTTGCAGAGGACCCAGGTTCAGTTCCCAGCACCCACATGGTGGTTCATAACCATTTGTAACTCCAGCTCCACATAATTTGATGCCCTCATCTGGCCTCCATGGGCAGTGCACTCATGTGCACATACCCACACACATACACATAAAAATAATTTTTTGTGTGAAAGGGTTCACTAGGTAGCTACCCTGGTACTCCCTATGTAGACCAGACTGACCTCAAACTCATGGGAATCCTCCTGCTTCTGCCTCCTAAGTCCTGGGATCTTTTCTTATATAACCCACTGAGTCAAATTACTGCTGCCCATATGCACATGGGTGTGGGGCTGACCACTGGGATCTGGGTAGTTTGCCATGGGTCACACCTCTAAGGAAAAGTGACTGTCTCTACCCCATCAGTTATCACCTGTACAGTTTCTCAGCTAGGTGTGGGGCCTCAGGGTCCTCCCTCATCCATGCTGGATGGAGTATTGATTAGCTCAATCTTGTGCATGTTTCATGCAGTAGCCACAGCTGCTGTGAGTTCACGAGTGCAACAGCCACATCATGTCAAGAGGACACATGTTTCACACACTCCTCCCCACCCTCTGGCTCTTACTGTCTTTCTGTACCCTCTTCCACAGTGTTCCCTAAGTTTGGGGGTGGAGGAGGGTTGATAGGTGCCCTCGATTGCTTTCTGTTGCTATGATAAAACACTGGCCAAAAGCAACTTGAGGAGGATAGGGTTTATTGCATCTTACATTTCCAAGTCACAACTCATTATCAAGGAAAGCCAGGGCTGGAGCTCAAGGCAGGAACCTGGAGGCAGGAACTGAAACAGAGACCATGGAGGAACGCTGCTCACTGGCTTGCTCCCCCTGGCCTGCTCAGCTACCTTTATTATACAGCCCAGGCCCACCTGCCCAGGGATGACACCACCACAGTGGACCAGGTCCTCCTACATCAATTAGCAATCAAGAAATGCCCCCATAGGCTGGTGTGATGGAGGAAATTCCTAAGTCAAGATTTCCTCTTCCCAGGTGACTCTAGTTTGTGTCAAGGTGACATAAACTGACCAGCACAGTACAGTTGCTCCATCTATGGCTGGGCACTCACAGTGTTTTATTCTCAGACCTCTGACCACTATAAGTCTCTGCAGTAGCCACCACCAGCTGCTGAAAGAAGCTTCTCAAACCAACAGTGAGAGTAGCACAGACCTATGGGTATATTGTTTTAAATACCATGGGTTGTTGGGACTGACGTTATGGCTCAGCCGTTAAGAGCAGGAGCTGCTTTTACAAAGTACTGGGTTTGGTTCCCAGCACCCACATGGCAGCTAACAACCATCCATAACTCCAGTTCCAGGGGATCTGACACCCGCCCCCGGCCTCCATGGGCACTGTACACGTGGGTTGATCTCTGCTGTTTTTACCACATAATCAAGATATGAATTTTCCTAGAAAAACTGTTGGTCAGTTTCTCATTATAAAAAGAACAGTTCTGTGAGGCTGAAGAGATGACTCTGTGGTTAAGAGCACTGGCTGCTCTTGCAGAGGACCCAGGTTCGATTCCTAGCACGCACATGGCACCTAACAACTATCTATAACTCCAGTTCCAGGGGATCTAACACCCTCTTCTGGCCTCTATGGGCACTACATGCATGTGGTACACTTACATACTTACAGGCAAAGCATCCAAATACATAAAATAAAAATAAGCAAATTTAAATTTTTTTAATTTAAAAATAAATACCATGGGCTGATTCTCTGCTGTTTTTACCATATAATCAAGATATGAATTTTCCTAGAAAAACTGCTATTAAATTTCTCATCATAAGAAGAACAGTCCTATGATGCTGGATAGATGGTCAGTGGTTAAGAGCACTGACTACTCTTGCAGAAGACCTGGATTTGGTTCCCAGCACTCACGTGGCAGCTAACGACCATCTGTTACTCCAGTTCCAGGGGACCTGATGTCCTCTTCTGGCTTCTGTGGGCATTGTACGACACAGGTGCACTTACATTCAGGTAATACTCTCATACACATAAAATAAAAATAATAAATAAAATATTTTTTAAAACAACAGCATGCAGCCTGCAGGTGCTTCTACCATGTCAATGCTCCAAAGTCACATCCACAGTATAAGCCTTAGGGAGCTGGGAGTGGATGACTGGGGGACCGGCAGGGCATCTTTATCTCTCCTCCCCACCTCTTGTCCCATCCCTGAATCTGCTAGGTACCCAGACACCTTTCAGATCAGCAGTTCACCAAAGCCAGCAAGCACAGAGCCTCTTTTTTCAAAACAGCCTGTGGAGACAAGCTGGCTTGGTGGGTCCAGCAGCAGCTATTTAAGGTGAGATAAAGCATCTAACCAGGAGCTGAGGGGCAAAAGCACCTGCACTGCCACCTCACTAAAGCCTGAAGTGATGTTGAATTCCCCCAAGCTAGGCCACCTCACTTCCACTCAGAAGTCGTGCCAAGGGACAGACGTGACTGGAAAGACCTCTTGCATTAAAGGTCTCCTGATTTATTTCTATTTATTTATTTAAGTTCAGAAGCCTCAGACTCTCTGGACAGAATAACAAAATTTTCTTGCTTTGGGTTTGGGGCAAGGAGTTTGATGGAATTGTGTGAAGAGAGTGAGTGGTGAGCAACTCATCCCAGGTGGCAGGCTGAGGCTGCAGGACTGAGGGGCGGATCTGGGGTAAGGAGGGTGGGGAAGGCAGCAAGGGCTGAAAGGAGGTTCCTTGTCCAGATTGGTACCCAGGATCCACATGAAGATTTCAAAGTTGCCTATCGGCATCTGTCACAACAGACTCTGAACAGCTGGCAATAGAGGCAAGTGTGGCGTACTGCTTCAGCTGGGCGGTGAGGGGAGTGAGGTAAGAAGGATGGAGAGCCTGGTGCTCAGTGTTCAGAGGGAGAAGGGTTGGCCACCCAAAGCTAACAGGCCGAAGTCATCTGATGCAGATGGAGACCTGGTTCCATCCCTGTGTCCCTCCACCGGACCACTCCTCAGTACTGATCCATGGCACCAAGCGGTGCCATCTGAGGCCCTCCAGCACTCCATACTTTCTATGCTGCCCTCATGTCAACAGCCTCATGTCCCCGGGCTCTGGGGCCTTGTCCTCCCCTACACAGGCCACCACAGGCTTCTGGGACCTCAGCAGGAAGCTGAGACTCACACATGGGCAGGGGTCAGACTGTCAAGAAAGGGGATGCCAGGGACAGGAAGAGAGAGCAGAGGTCTTTTGGGGCTTTCTGGATTGTTTGGATTCAGAAGCCATGAATGAGGAGGCAGGTACTAGCACCGCCCCCCCGCCGCCCCGGGCTGCTTTGAACCCACTGGTGTCTGGTTCAGAATCATATTGAAAGTTTCCACGATGGCTGGATGACTGGAAGTGACCCTCACATGCGAATATGTTTTTCTTATTGTGTGTCAAGTTCACATTCAGTTCTGAGTGTGTTTGAAGGATGTTGTGAGCCTCCTCCCACCCACCCACCCCACCTATCTGATGGATGATGGATGAAAGCTGGAACCCAACTGTGAAGTTACATCTACCTCTGGGTGTGCATCTAAGAGAGCTGAGGGGGAGGAAGAGGAAGAGGAAAGGAAGGAGAGAGGAGGAAAGACAGAAGAGGAAGAGAAAAATCGGAGACAGCTGAAGATTGTGCAGTGGGTAAAGTGCTTGCTGGCCAGTGAGGCCCAGGTATTGGTCTGTGTGTGCTCAAACGGCAAGCAGAGACCACCACACCTGCGTTTGCTTTTTAGTAGAACAGTGTTTATTCTTGGACAATTTCATACAGGTAAACAATATCTTTTTCTGTTGTTTGTTTTTGATTTTGCTGGTTTTTGAGACAAGAGTCTCCCTGTAGCACCAGCTGGCCTAGAACTCACTTTGTAGATGAGGCTGGCCTTGATCTCACAGAAGTACTCCTGCTTCTGCCTCTAGAGTGCTGGGATGAAAGGTGTATGCCACCACTCCTGACTATAGTATATCTTGATTATACTCACCTCTAACTCTCCCCAGGAACCCCCAA